GCACGACAGTTAGCGAATGGCGTAAATGCCTTGTGCATTAGGTTGGTCTGGCAGAAAATTTGCTGCAGGTTTTGAAATTTCTGGTACTTCACACCGCTTTGCTCGAGAATCTCCGCAAATTCCCGGACCACATCATCCACCATGCTCAACTCCGGGACTGCAGTACCTGCATCTCGGGCAGCGAGCGCCTCACTGCCACATCGTGAACAAGCATGACGGTCAGATGAGAAATACATGATGTCAGAATCAAAACGGTAAAGCAAAACCAAAGCCACTGTGGCCATGCCCACCGTGGGTGGGCACTCCAAGGGTAAGGGAGGTAAGAGAGGAAGGAAGGGTGATGCCGCTGGTGGTGGTGGCGGGAGTGGCAGAGGCCCTGGTGACACTAGTGAGTCTGGTGGAGGCGACACTTGGGGCGGCCCTGGGCCCGCAGGCTCGACAGGAGGGGGTGATGGTACGGCCACGTGGTACACGGCACAGTGGCAGCGGCATTCCCAGCAGCAGCAGCCACAGCCAGGACAGCCACAGCAGCAGGGACAGCCGCAGCAGCAGATTCGCAGCTGAGGAGAAAACTCGTATAACGGGAGCTAGTCTACGGGGTAGGAGTGATCGTAGCATTCGTTTCTTAGTCGTTTGCTCGTGTTCTCTTTACGCACACATTCACGGGGAGAATTGGCAAGAGTTTCAATAGCACAAGTTCACCAGAATGATCGCAACAAAGTTGGCAAGCAAGACTACATCAGATGCTAGCAAGCATGCAGGTCGACTGACAGCGCAGCACGGTCGACCGCGGTCCAGCACTGCAAGGTCGACCGCGCTCCAGCAGTGCAAAGTCGCGGTCTGCCAACGCTGCAAGTTGACGTCGTGCCAACGCTGCAGCAAGGCGGCTGTACAGCGTTGCACCCGCAGTACAGCAGCGTACCCGCTTCGCAGGTGCCCGCAGTTGATTAGCGTCCTGTGCCCCGTCACCTGCACAGCGCAGACACCAAATTGTCCACGTGCTGTTGACTGCACCTGATCAGCCGCGTCGACCTCGGGATACCATCTCCGAGGTCGGCTTCGCTAGAACCACATGGGCGATTGTCGTCCACCTCCGCAGGATCATGTCGCCCGGGTAATCTGGTCGACCGGGCAACCACGTCGACCAGGCGCTTCTCCTTGTGCCCGTTGACCGGCCAGATTGACGACCACCACTGATCGACCACACCAAGTCGACCACACCCCTGGTCGACCAACTCCAGGTCGACCAGCCCAGCTGTCAGTCGACCACACCAGGTCGGCTTCACCAGGTCGGCGTCACCAAGTCAACGCCTCCCAGGTCGACCTCCCGAAGACGGCGCCCTCTCAGGTCGACGTCTCCCCTCGTCGGCCACCGGGTTGAGTCCGCTGGCTTCCCAAAGTCGGCGGCATCGCAGTGGCCCAGTGCAGGTCGACCAACACGTCGAACAGCTCGCCCAAGTCGGAGTCGCGCCCACTGCTGCAGGTCGGCTGCACCTTCCGCCCACCCGACCACGAAGTCGACTCCGCCCAAGCGAGGGCGGGGCCAACACACGACTCCCGTTGACAGCGGCAGGTGCAGCAGCAGTCTCAGCAATGGGGACCTGGTGGACCAGGGAGCGCTGGTTGTGGCAGTGGTCCGCCCAGCTCAACAGTGAAGGGGAGGAGGATGTTATCTGGAAAATATGTGTTCCGTCTTAAGATTGTTGCGGATGGAACTATCGAATGCTTCAAAACAAGGTGGATCGTACGCGAGTACCACCAGCACCACGGGATTCACTTCGACCAGACCTTCGCCCCCGTGAGCCGCCACACCTCTGTGCAAATTCTGCTCGCCATCGCCGCCGCTAAGCATCTACCACTGTGATAGATCGACGTGAAGAGCGCGTTCTTGTACGCGTTGGTCGATGCTACCATCTTCGTGGAGCAGCCACACACCTATGGGGAAGGAGACCCTAGGGTCTGCCAGTTGGAGAAATCGCTCTACGGGATTAAACAGGCGCCTCGACTCTGGCAGCAGCACCTGCACAAGATACTTCTCGACATTGGCTTTAAGCAACTGACGCACTTCAACGGCGACTACATCCTGCTGACAGTCTACGTCGACGATGTGACTTCACTTCAATGTACACCGGCACCAGTAACGTGCTCCTTAACCAGTTGGAGGAGAACATGGCGCAGCGCATAGATATCACCATCAACCACAAGGTCACACAGTTCCTCGGGCTGAACATCACGTACGCGCCAGAAGCAAATCATCTGTCAGCTTTCAATTACGCAGAGCAGCTGGGGGAACGCTTCGAAATTGCACCCGCACCGCTCTCAACTCCTTACCGCACGCCCAGCGCCAACTACGAACCGGACAACAAACCTCTGTCGCCCGTAGGACTCCAACTGTACCAGCAGCAACTGGGGTGCCTGCTGTTCGCCTCTGTCACCTGCCGACCCGACCTTTCGTACATCGCCAGACAACTGGCACAATACTCACGCAAGCCAGTAGCAA